GGAGATCAAATCCACACTGCTAGTGGATCAGGTATGGCAATTCGTCATGTTGGTCAATCTACCATTGTTACCCCTAGCCGAAACTTGCATCTTAAAAATGTGCTTCACGTCCCACAAGCTAAAAAGAATCTAGTATCTGTGCATCGATTTACATCTGACAATTCAGCCTTCATGGAATTTCATCCCAATTTTTTTGTCGTTAAGGATCAGGACACCAAGAAAATTCTTCTTAAAGGACGCTGTCATCGAGGTCTCTATCCTCTACCATCGCCATCCACAATAAAGCACGCCTGCAGCGCCACCAAGCCTTCTTCGACTCGGTGGCATGATCGCCTAGGGCATCCATCTTTTTCTATTGTCAGTCGTGTCGTTAGCAATAATAATTTGCCATGTATTCGTGAGTCAGGTCCTTCACATGTGTGTGACGCCTGTCAACAGGCCAAAGCACACCAGCTGCCATATCCTGTGTCCGCAAGCACTTCTAGTGCTCCATTAGATCTTGTGTTCTCTGATGTGTGGGGTCCTGCCATTGAATCTGCAGGCAGAAAACAATATTATGTTAGTTTTGTGGATGATTATAGTAAGTTCACTTGGATTTATCTCATTCGTTTTAAGTCAGATGTGTTCCAAAAATTCCATGAATTTCAAGCACTCGTTGAGAGATTATTTGATCGTAAAATAAAAGCGATGCAAACAGATTGGGGCGGTGAATATCAAAAGCTCAATTCTTTCTTTACCAAAGTGGGTATTTCACATCTTGTATCCTGCCCGCATGCACATCAACAGAATGGTGCGGCGGAAAGAAAACATCGTCATATTGTGGAGGTTGGCTTATCTCTCCTCTCACGAGCCTCTGTTCCATTGAAATTCTGGGATGAAGCATTCATCGCTGCCACATATCTTATAAATCGTCTTCCCAGTTCAGTCTTAAATTTCTCAACCCCCTTAGAGCGTCTTTTCCATCAAAAACCAAATTATTCTGCTCTTCGAGTGTTTGGGTGCGCCTGTTGGCCAAACCTCCGTCCTTACAACACGCACAAACTCCAATTTCGTTCCAAACAGTGTGTGTTTCTTGGTTATAGCGTGTTGCATAAAGGGTTTAAGTGCTTGGATATGTCAACAGGGCGTGTTTATATTTCTCGTGATGTAACATTTGACGAGAATGTCTTTCCTTTCTCGCAATTGCACCCAAATGCTGGACCAAGGCTTCGTTCTGAAGTTCTTCTAATACCCACTTCAAACTCGGCATCTAATGGGGGCAATGCTGTAGATGATCATCTGACTAATTTGCCTACACCAAGTCCCAGTATTTTTTGCATAGATCCAGACTCAACAGGAGAAACTGCATGCGATAACACATCAAGTGGCTTGGACACGAGTCCCACCGTCGATCCGATCTGGAGACTCGATGGGAGAATCGGTGGCCTTGAAAGCGAAGTTAACCTCCGCTTCAGATTCCATGTCTCCGCAGAAGAAGACCGGGTGCTTCACTGACTGACCGTGTGGACCGTGCAGGCGCCTGAAAGCGAGTCCCGAGGAGATCCCCTCATCATTACCGGCGAGGGACATGGCACCCTCTTCATCGCCGCATGGAGGACCGTCTCTGGCTGCACCTTCAGGTGATATTCATTTGCATCCACCGGACCAGTCACAAGATCTCAACATGGCATTCGGAAAGAGAAGGTCTACACGGATGGTACAGTTAAATATGGTATGTTGACATCTTCTGGTGAGCCATATGATTTAACCGAAGCTTTGCAAAATAAAAATTGGAAAGAGGCTATGTTATCTGAGTATGATGCCCTTATGAAAAATAAAACTTGGCACCTAGTTCCACCTCAAAAAGGTAGGAATGTCATAGGGTGTAAATGGGTTTATAAAATCAAAAGAAAATCAGATGGCAGCTTAGACAGATATAAAGCTCGACTAGTAGCTAAAGGATTTAAGCAGCGATATGGTATTGATTATGAGGACACCTTTAGCCCTGTTGTTAAAGCAGCTACTATTCGTGTCATTCTGTCTCTTGCTGTTTCCTGTGGTTGGTCTTTGCGACAACTTGACGTACATAATGCATTCCTTCATGGACTCTTGGAAGAAGAGGTTTATATGCAGCAGCCACCTGGTTTTGAAGATCCAAAGCGGCCTCACTACGTGTGTAAGTTGGACAAAGCTCTATATGGTCTTAAACAGGCCCCTAGAGCCTGGTATTCAAGGTTAAGTGAGAAACTTTTGCAACTCGGGTTTAAAGCTTCGAAGGCTGACACATCCTTGTTTTATTTTAGCAAGGGAGTCATAACTATTTTTGTACTTGTCTATGTTGATGATATCATTGTGGCCAGCTCAACTGAACAAGCAGCAAGTGCATTACTCAGTGATCTGAAGGACGAATTTGCTCTTAAGGATTTGGGAGAACTTCATTATTTTTTGGGTATTGAGGTAACCAAGGTTAAAGGTGGTATTATTCTCTCTCAAGATAAGTATGCTTCTGATCTTTTGAAGAAAGTGGGGATGGCGCACTGTAAGCCAGTTAATACACCTATGGTTACTCATGAGAAGCTCTCCTTGCATGTGGGCACATTACTTGGTGAAAATGATGCAACAAAGTACAGAAGTATAGTTGGTGCTCTACAGTATTTAACATTGACTCGTCCTGACATTTCTTTTGCTGTCAATAAGGTATGTCAATTTCTTCATGCGCCGACTACTGTACATTGGGAAGCAGTTAAAAGAATATTAAGATATATCAAGCAATGCACAAGTCTTGGCCTTAAAATACATAGATCTGCTTCTACTTTGGTAAGTGATTTTTCTGATGCTGATTGGGTTGGCTGCATTGATGATAGAAAGTCTACAGGAGGCTTTGCCATATTTTTAGGAGGTAATCTTGTTTCATGGAGTGCTAGAAAGCAACCTACCGTGTCTAGATCTAGCACTGAGGCTGAATATAAAGCTATAGCTAATGCCACTGCAGAGATTATGTGGATACAGATCCTTTTGAGAGAAATTGGAGTTAAAAGCCCTAGAGCAGCTAAAATATGGTGTGATAATTTGGGAGCTACATATTTGTCTAGCAATCCAGTGTTTCATGCTAGAACAAAACATATTGAAGTGGATTATCATTTTGTTCGAGAACGAGTGAAGAATCGTCTACTTGAGATAGATTTTGTTTCCTCCAAAGATCAGGTAGCAGACGGATTCACCAAAGCATTGCCGGTGAGATTAAATGAGAATTTTAAAGTCAATCTCAACTTAGCAAAGTTGTGATAGAGGGAGGCTGTTAGAAGATATATTAGCGTGTGTGTCGTGTACGTGTATTATGCTGTACATTTGTGACAATTAGAGTAGCATGGCGCTCGAGAGATCTCCAGAACATTCTATATTCTGTTATAGATAGATTAGGTTGTTGTGATCTGTTGTAATCCTAGGATAGTTAGTTGGAGATCTCCTAGCGCCAGCTGATGGTTGTTACCTCCTGTAACCTCGCGCGTTTGCGCCTATATTAGCATGTACCGGCGCCGGCCAAGGGTCAAGGGCGACGTTCCCACCAAACCTTCCTGCCCTCTGTTTCTTTACACATGTGACGTACATGCACTGCTTTTTCTTTTCTTTTTGTTTGTTTGTCTAATGTGACGTGTCAATCACTGATTTGTTGAAAATGTGGAAGCTAACAAACAACAAAATCTTCCATGAGATGTGTAGTCAGTCCCTCCCCTCAGTTGTACTGGAAAAACAGTAAGAAAGGCCATTACACGATCATCCAACAAGAAACTCAAAGGGGTGCTTCTTGCATCACCTCTATGAAAACCGACACTTCGATTTTATTAGGACAGATAAATGAACGCTCACTCGTGAAGGACTCGACCAGGGTAAGTGTCCCTATCATCGGCATGCCAACTAGGTGGGTTTCAAACAACCTTGAGATGAAAAGAAGAACAAAAATCCATGGTTTTGAGAAGATTATGGGGGAAGGAGTAAAAGGAAAGGCAAAAGGGATAAAAGATAGATTTGTTAAATCGATTGGATATCTCAGTCGACCATGTTCCTTCAAATTTGTAGAGTGAAGTCTTACTCCGTGTTAGAGTCTAAATAATGCACAGATAACGCTTAAGCCAACCTAACCGATCTACCTCGTAAAAAACGAACCCTTCGGTTTATAAATTGGACCCTTTGGTTTTCACGGGTATATATACTTCTGGTTGCCATAACTCTTGCATTTGGATTCCAAGTCGAATGATACGTTAAACTTTCAAAATCAGCTGTGTCAGAATGTACATTTTGGCTCAACCGGGTGGGATGACGGATGGCCGGTCCTTGGTGGCCGCAGGCGAGGAGGAAGGAGGAGCAGCGCGCGCCAAAGGCTCATGGCCGTGCTGCGACAAGTGCGGCTTCTGCTACAGGTCGTTCCCGCCACGGTGCCAGTGCCTAGACTACTCGCAGCGCGGGTGCCATCCGGCGTGCAGGAGCTGTCTCAAGTTCACCACCGGCGGCATCGACGAACCACCCGTCTTCCGGTGCGCGGACATCCTCATCAACTTCTGCGAGCGCAGCTGCACGCCGCCTGAAGCTATCTGAAGGCCGGCAAATGTCGATGCTTTCTCACCGTTTCGTAATGTTTCCGGAATAAAGATCTCTGCTATGCTCAAAGCTCTGTGATCAGCTATGTGCTGAAATAATGCAATATAAGCTTTGGCTAGGCCAGGATATGCCTTCTCGGTTATCAGAACTACACTTAGCATCGATGAAACGTGCATATAACAACAGAAAAAAAAAGGAATGCTTTATTCCGGGCCTCTTCACCAGATCCTCTGCAATGCAACAATATGCTGACGTCACTTAGCCCTGCCAAAAAATGCAACACATTCCCGTTGCTACTAGTACTTCACCAGAACGGCATGATGCATGTTTCTTTTTTGCCCACCTTCGATAACAAGTGTCCCAGCTTTTTGGTGTAAATTTCAGCTCTGGTCAGAGATTGACTTCATACCGAAAATGGTCTTCATTTAGATCTCACCATCCCAGAGTTCGTCAATTGTTTTGTAAATACTCTTAGGGTGCACAAATGCATCATTTCTGATTTGCTTAATCTGTTCACCCACCAAAAAAGCAGAAGTGCCAATGAGTCAAGTCTATTAGAAATGAGTTCATATGGGCAGAGGGCTAGAAGCATTATTGCAAAGATAAAAATGATAGTGAACCATATACTGTGAAGTTTGTATATGCAAACTTGATGTATCCATATGTATGAAGAAGGTAAACGATCATTTCCTGCACTCACGGTCAAGGATATAACTGAAAAAGGGAATCTGTACCTGTTCAATTTCAGAAAACTTGGCACACAGCTCTTCAGGAATGGACCAACCAAACAGGTCAATGTTCTCCTTCAACCTTGACTCATTAGCACTTTTGGGAAGCACGCTCTGACCCTGCTGGATACCCCATCGCAGAGCAATCTGTGCCGGCGTTTTCCCCAATCTCTCGGCTATGGATGCAACCACCGGGTTACTCGCAACGGCTTTCATCCTGCCTAGCGGCGCGTATGCCTGCAGAAAGAGCGTGAACAAATTGCCGGGAAAGAATCATACACCCCAAGCTTAAAACCATGGTGACTTACAGAGAAATGAACTCCATTGGAGCGGCAGAACGCTCTGAGTTTCGCCTGTTGCCAGCCGGGGTGGCACTCCACCTGATCAACAGCTGGAGGAACACGGGCTACGGCAAGCAAATCGGCGAGCTTCTTGGTCGAAAAATTGCTGACACCTACTGCGCGAGCTTTGCCTGAACCGTACAGCTTCTCCATTGCCTGCCAGGTCTTGGGCATATCAAGCTGGACAAAGTTTTCTGGACTGAGTTCGCTGCCTTTCTTGATCTGAAAGGGCCAATGAATCTACGAAGATCCCAAAAGTCATCACTTAGCTTGTTGCTAGTAGTAGCAATGAAAGGGAAAACTTTATCTGTGCACTCTTGCAGTGTGCACATTCAGGTTATTACCAGGTACAGGTCAAGATAATCCAGCTGCAGATCATTCAGAGTGCTGTCGATTGCCAACGGAACGTCCTCAGGCGCGAGATCGCTGCACCTGCATAGCTTGACTCTCCGGTTGTTACGAGATTGATGGACACGAGCAAATGGCTAAAGTAGTACTAGCAGTATCCATCCAAGGCAGTACCATATCTTTGAAGTGATGAAAAGGTCTTGTCGCTTGACGACGCCGTCATCAAAGAGCTTGTTCAGAGCAACGCCAATCTGGTAACACGTTAAGGGCAACTATAACCAAACTGCCATCGCAAATGCGAATCGAAGATACTAATTGCAGGGTGGATTAAGGCTACCTCCTTCTCGTTCTTGTATAGCGGCGCGCAGTCGATGTGCCGGTACCCGGCCTGTCATGACAAGCAAGCAAGGAGGACTAAGACCCGGGATCAAGCAGCACGCATGTGCAAGTAGTACACGGAACATACTTGTGAGCAAAACAAACGGAACAGCACATTCGGAACAAAGAGTGCTCGAGGGAGAGGCGAAGACCTTGACGGCGGCGGTGATCGCGTCGGCGACGACGCCGGGGCCAGCCTTGTAGGTGCCGAGCCCTACCGAGGGGATGCGAGCCCCGGTGTTGAGCGTGAAATAGGTGGCCATCTTCTTCCTCCACTTCTCTCCGCCCGCCCGCCGCTCTCCTCTTCCGTCGCTGTCTCGGTCTCGTCGATAGCGACGGTATGGTGGTGAGAGAGTCGTGCTGGACAGTGGATACCGAGGAAAGGATACGGTTTGGGCAACGGCGCAACGGTGTCCCAGCGAGCGCGCGTGCCAAGAAAAAACGAGCCAAAGATGCCGAAACCGCGGCCCCATTTCAGTCGCACCTAGCCTGGCGCAGTGGCTAAGCGAACATAGCCTTTGTCGACTGTGCACGGAATCTTGGTCGCAGGAACGATCGAGAACTGTTTAGATGCCACGTCGTATGTGTAGATGCTAATTAATAAGACTAAAAGAAGAGGACAGATCCAGTGTTCGAGGCCCACATGAATAGGGTCTGGAAAAGAGAAAAACCGAGAGAAGCCTTTCCCGCAAAATCTACAGAGAGACTGCTTCGAACCCGTGACTTGATAACCTGCATAAGTTGTGGCTAATTCACAAGACGAATAGCTAATCAATTAGTTTTATAATTAACTCATGTTTAGTCCTTCTAATTGACATCAAAACATTCAATGACAGGGACAAAAGTTTAGTGTTAGAATCAAACATCCCCTGGATCAAGAATCAGACATGTATTTATACAAATTCTGAGATATAATAATTTTTCTTTCCAACTACTTATACTAAATTTATACGACGATTTCATACGTTGAATGAACATTTATTTATAGGATACGCAAGTTAGCACGTTCAACAAATTCAGAGAGAATAAATGGAGCACAAAAGAAATAGTGTGAGGAGATAAACGATGAAATTCCAATACAGACTAATGATGACTGGCGAATTAACTTCTTTGGTCACAGTTTACCAGAAAAATCAAGCGGCACTAGGATGGACTGCAGCAGCACATCCCGTAGGACAAAGTAAACCGCTGACAAATTTCCGAACAGTTCGTGATACAGGATGGCATCAGAGCTTCCGAGCACTGAACCTTCATTTCAAAAGAGCAAATTTGGAGATAAATTGATCTGACAGGCCCTAATGGAACGCTATTCCCTGCTCAGGATGAACAACGGTGTCCTTCCTAAATTTCACCATCCCAGAGCTCCTCATGGGTCTTGTAAACGCTCGCTGGATTAACAAGGAAGTTGCCTCTAAGTAGCCTAGCCTGAAGATCACAAAATAAAATTGTCAGATGCATTCAGTCGTGTTATGTAAGGGTCTTAAAGGAAAAAAGATGGATGCAAATTAATAGTTCAAAATTGTTGATTTAATGAACTGGATTACATGAAAAAAAAAGGTTCAGAAATTTTTACTGACATTCTTCTAGAAAAGCAATTGATGACAGAGGTCGAGATAACTTTTTTCGTGTTTATGGAAAAGTGGTTTACATTGAACGATATAGACAAGGGACATACATCTTTTCCCTATGCAACAAGCAAAAAATGATCATTGGACAATGATGGCGTGGATTGGCTTCTATTCTACCCAAGGTGAATAATAAGGCATGAAACAACACTCTATCCAGACTGGTCATGTGTCAGCACCTAATAGCACAAAGTCGGACATCTACAAGTATTTTCATGCCAGGTAAGAATCACAATATTCAGAAATCCGAAGTTATAAAAATGTGTTTATTAATCTTACAGCAAGTATTCTTGAACTCGCACATCTTTTATGTTTTTTTCCTTTTCATTAGAATCTCAGAGGGAAAGGCTCCTACCTTATAATAATCAAGCCATGAAGATAAGTAAATCTAGTGGCAGCATTTCAAGAAAGAATTAGCGAGCCACAAACAAGGGGGCTTGGGGGCTACAGATATGAGATGTGATGCAATATTTGTTCTCATGGAGTTTGTACATATAGCACCATATATCAAGGTTGAGCATGGCTATGAAAAGAATACAAGGGGCAATCCGGTCATGGGGTTGATGATCTTATTATTCAAAAACATCCTAGGCTGACAGAGAACTGTGACTACAGCACCAGGTCAAATTTTCAGCTGGTGTGCGGGGGTGCATAAAGGGCAGGGGACAGCATCTCGCTGAAACATAATTCGACTTAAATGTATAATGATATGTTTATAGTAATTATTTGTTTGCACGTGCACGATCAAGGGAAAAATAAGTAGGCACCCTTACTTGATTCATGTCACAGCACCACTGGAGCTTCGAGCTCCAAGAAAGCTAAAAAAAAGTACAGGTGCTACTTAACCCTAGCAATTTAGAATCCTCCAAGTGGTTTGTTTATCAGAATAAATCCAAATCATATGAATTTCGAAGGAGCATAACAAGGACACAAGGTAACATTTTGAAATGTACATTATCCTATAAAGATGTTTAATCATGATCAACAAATATCTATGTAATTTTATCCTCATTAAAGTATTGTGAAGGGTACTCAGTACACATATACCTGCTTAATCTCAGAGAACTTTGCAAGCAAGTCCTCTGGAATTGACCAATCATAAACATCAAGGTTTTGCTTTATCCTTTCTTCGTTCGTGCTCTTTGGAAGTACACTATGACCCATCTGAATGTTCCAGCGCAGAGCCACTTGTGCTGGAGTTTTCCCAAGTTTCTCAGCTATTGAGATGACTATTGGTTCTTTAAGGACATTACTATTCATCCAAGTTGTACCAGGTGAACCTAGTGGTGAGTAAGCCTGCAACATACATACAGATTAAAAAAACAATAGAAAAATTTTGTTCAGCAAAAACAATCTAGCTTGTTTAGTGATAAAGCAATATGTGTGGTAATCAGACTTACAGTAAGATGAACACCAGTTGACTGACAAAAGCTATGGAGCTTAGTTTGCTGCCAAACAGGATGACATTCCACCTGATCAACAGCAGGAGGTACACGAGCCACAGCAAGCAAGTCACCCAATTTCTTTGAGGAGAAGTTACTCACACCAATAGCACGAGCTTTGCCAGCATCATATAACTTCTCCATTGCCCCCCAAGTAGCAGGGATGTCAGGTGTAACAAAATTTTCTGGACTGTGGTTTGTTCCCTTCTTGACTCTAAATGGCCAATGGATCTACAAAAAACACAGATGATCACAGATTTTAATTGAATCATTCATAAACATCATGCTTAACTAAACAGTTTCAACTTTAAAACATAATCATCAAACGACAATCCGAAGGTACCACAGAAAAAATGTTGCACAACATAAAAGACAAAATTCATCAAACATACATGATATTCTCTGCAATGTATTCAAGATGCCAAAAACAAACAGCAGAAGTGACCTTGAAACAATAAACAGTTTTACACCAGAAATCAAGAACACCATGTCAATCACCAAATAAGATGGAGGAACGCCCATGGATGTAATACGGCTAACTTTTTTTTGAAAGAAATATGGTAATATGGCTAACTGAACAGACAGAATTCAGGGAATGGGAGCATATATATTCAATAAATGGCATAGAAAACCATGTTTCCAGTTTCCACATTAGAAACCATACATAGGCATAGCACGCAATAGACTGGCATGGATACATAATTTTGCCAGTAACTATGATTAACATTTAAGCATAAATTAGTTCAGCTTACCAAGGAGACTTTTCTTCATAAAAAAATAAATGAAAATATACAGAAGTAGCTATATCAGCACACACAAAGGGAGATGTTAATGGTCTAGAGACCAGAATAGAGGAAATCAGGTATTGAAATATATAATTGTAAATAGGAGATGCGTACAAGATAAAGATCCAAGTACTCAAGCTGCAAATCATTCAGGGTTTCATTTAGTGCCTCAGGCACATCTTCAGGAGCATGATGATCATTCCTGGAAACATAAGCCATCCCCAAATCAGGTCGACATGAATGATTGAAAACTTCAAATAGGCATCAATATACTCAACTTGAGATGCATGAGACATAAATATTGGAATATCACCAGAGATTTGAGCATACCATAGCTTAGAGGTGATAAACAGATCTTCTCGCTTCACTACACCCTCTTCAAATAGCTTCTTCAGAGCCACACCAATCTGGACAATCCAAAAATGGATATCAGGCTTTCATTGCTCCAATTGATATGCAATATGAATGGAGACAATATTGCAGGCAACACATGTCTTATCCTAAGAGGGGTAAATGCTGCTTGCGAGCTATGCATGCCATAAAGCCATGTCAATTTGGCCACTGAGCTTCAGAATAGTCCTTAATCAGGCCTTTATTTATACCCTAAGTCAGGTTCACTATGAGCCCATAATTAATGGACAGCGATATTTTGCCCATGTAAATGTTAAATGGACAGAAGAAATTTCTGGTATAACGATATGGTTCTCACATGGAGGGATATGGTTTGTACTCCTAGATTGCAGTACTTTTTTTTTCAACTCGAGGCAGCCCCATTTCCATTAACATTGTAACGGAAATACAAAGAGTTTTGATACAGAGAATACCAGGCAGATAGACAGAAACAGAGCTAAGACTGTAAAAGGAGCAGGCCTAGATTGCAGTACTTGTATCATTGTTTTTCTTATTCTCTAGATGCATGTGCAGGAGAATAAATAACAAGTCATACACGCACCCAAAAAAAAAAGAACCATAAGGAAGTGAATCTATTGTCCGACACGCTTTGAACGCATGAGTGAGTGACCAACCAAAAACTATGTACCGGTACCCAAAAAAGCCTACAGTTTGGAACGGGGGACTGGGGGAGTACAAAACTAGTTAATTGTTACCTCCTTTTCATTGCCGTAAACTCTGGCACAATCGATGTGTCGGTAGCCCGCCTGCACGATCCGAAAGCAATCATGTGAAATTCCTCGGAGAAGGATCTCCCACAACCCAGGAAACAGGATTGCACGAAGGGATGGATTGTAAAGGGGAAAAAAAAAAAACAGGAGGCGGGCGCGGGTTTATCCGGACCTTGACGGCGGCGTAGACGGCGTTGCCGACGACGCCCGGGTCAGACTGCCAGGTGCCGAGCCCCACGGAGGGGATCTTGGCGCCGGTGTTGAGCACGAAATGCCGCGCCATCGCCGCCTCTCTCTGAGTCTCTCCCACTGGGCGGCGCTCTGCCACACGGCACCAACACCGGAAATGGGGAACGTAGAGGGAGAGGGAGTGGTGCCTGCCTATGTAGGGCGGCGGGCCCGGCCGGCGAGGCCGGCTGGGCGCGGGGCGCGCGTCGGGCACCCGGTGGCCTCGCTCGTTTGGGGGGGGGGCTTCGTTCCGACTGGCCGACTAGAGGCTGGTGCGGGTGCGCCAAGTGGCTTCCCGGGGTTTCTGGTTTCCCGGCCGTGAAAACGACCGGTCACGGACCACAACACTACTGAGTACTGACACAGCATGCATGTGTAGCATGGGCATGGGATCGGATCTTTGACTACCTGAAAGAGCACTCTGCTTTTCGCCTCTCCGGAGCATTCCAAGGCCGTGATTTCCTTTTCGGTAGGGTGATTTGGATCGTTCTACACGACACAAGCACTCGTTCACGAGCTCGGTAACATTTTCGAAGGACTTTCCTACTACAAGTACACACATCATTGCTTTTGTATCGCTCACATTGCAATTCATCTAATCTCCATTTCGACAAACCCCCCCCCCCCCCCCCCACACCCACACACACACCACCCCATCCTAATATAGAACATGCAACCTTTTTCTAGTCACACAATAGATGACATATTGTTTTCGATTACATTAGACACTCAGAACGCACGCACATTTACCCTTATAAGGAGGATGTACCCTCTTAGTTGAATTAATGTGTATATAAATAATTAGGTGCTTGGATATAATGGCTGTGTGAGCAAGAGAAGCCAACCACATAAACCAAGCGTCCAGCCTAGCTCAATGCATGCAGAAATAAACGCCTTCCTTGATATTGACATATATACTAGGACAAGGAAAGCAGTTGCTAAAAATTAGTTGGGACGGATTCAACTAATTGTTACCTGGACATCTAGCTAATAACTATCTTACTATCTGTCTAAACAATAGTTGGATGAACTCCCCAGCTAATTGATTAGCTAATTATTATTGGACATCTAGCTAATACATATCTCACTATCTGTCTCAGTCCACAGCTAATATATTGCAAAAAGACAGTTTTGTCCTTATAGGTATATTTAATTCCGTGCTCTTTCAATAAGCAATAACAAATAGAAATTGAAGAGTATAATACACAAAACCACAAATACATCCACTTTTAGCCGGTGCATCCAACATTCCAAATAACACTCAACTAACAGGAGTTGTTAGCTAGCTATTTTATATATGAATTTATCGGTCAGCCAACAAGAGTAGCTGCTAGTATATCAAACAGGGTCTGAAATCGTATTGTCATTCGTGGAATGTGGCTGACACGATCAGACGGGGGGTGATAATTATGGTTACCGACTCCTGCTCTTCGTCGATTGCGCCGTGTCCCCGCCTCCCCGGGTTCTTCTTTTGGCATCTAGAGAAGGAGGTGAAGTGGAGAAACCTTTTTGACCGCAATCGTAGAAAAGAGCTCTTTGATCATGTAGCATCATCCGCACTATGACGAGTGGCATCAGCATTCATGGAGGGCCAAAGACAAAGAGCGAGTCGTCCAGGGGTCCAGGGTCCAGCCGAATTGGCAGCCAGTGAGGCAACGCAGAGGATGACAACGGTCTGTCCTTACAGGTTCTCAAATGGGATTGGCGAATCGTCGGTATCACGACTCACGAGCGTAAGCAGTGACGGGATCACAAGTTCGCCCTTTCCTTTTCCCTGAAACGCATCGCCGATGCCAACGTATCGGCCTTGTGTTGTGTCTCCGTGGTCTGTGCGCACCGGAGCCACGGGTACGTGTACGTTGGGCCCGGAAGCGGCCACGTAGCCACTGCCACATGTCGACGATCACCCACCGTCGGGCGATACCGATGCATGGGGCTTTCAAGATTCACCCTTTCTCCTCTCGGGTTCCAAGTTCTGATGCGGCTTTCCTGTTTGTTCAACATCATGGTCATGGGAGAAATCGGCAGATCAGTGGACCAAACCGCCGTTCGTTCGCCTGAAACTTGGCTTCGCTGTCTTGTCTCGTCCCCTCGTCGGTTGCTCGGTTGGTTCTCTTCGGGAATTTGCTCGGCGAGCCTTTCCTTTTGAGTAGAGTAGAAAGGCACCCACTACCACCGGAGCTTCGCGTTTCGTCTGAACTTTTTCAGCGTCGAACCACTCGAACGGAAGCCGAAAGGGAAGGATGAACGCCTGCCTTTGTAGTTATCAGCTGGGCCGATGTTCTTTCTGCTTGTGCGTGGCTTCGGATCGGGCTTGACGGTGGCCTGTGACGAAACAGAGCCCATCATCAGCCCCCGTGGCCAGAGACCCGCCACGCCAACTCTGCATTGTTCAAAACGGGCAATTGTGTTGTGCACAGGCACAATAGTGTTATTGTGCTAATCATATTCACAAGGACAAATACTCGTAAGTTATCCTTATATATAAGTAGATAACTGTGTACAGATAGGCGATGGCGATGCCAATTGTCTGATTATTTTTTCGAGAGCGGGATTGTACCCGTATTTCATTGAGAGGAAAAGAGTTTAAACAACAAGCGAAGCCGGCGGGAACGGCCACGAGAGGCAACCTCCAGCCGGCGGCAGACCTACGCTACTGGATACACTGCCTGGCTATTACATTGCACCTAAATGTTGCGACCAGAGCTCAGAAAGAGGAACAAACGGCGTGAACCCGCCAAGGGCCCAATCCTTCCCTTCTCGGAGCGCAGCACAGACGACGCCTTCAACGGTTGAAGCCGGTCTGCCGAACACTCTGCCGTTCCTCTCCTTCCATAAAGACCAGGCGACTAGCAGCAACATAGAATCGAACAACGGCCTGTCCGCTGAATCGACCCGAACTAGCTGGCGCAACCACCAGGAGCCGATGTCCTCATCACGCTCCGGCATCAAGGAAGTCAACCAAAGCGGTTGGAGAAGCACGAACCAAACCTGCCTGGCGAACACGCAGCCGAGGAACAAGTGAGCAACCGTTTCAGGTTCCTGGCCACACAGCGCACAGGCATCGTCATCCTGGAGCCCATGGCACAAACGCCGGGTAGAGGTCCAAAGACGCTTACGCAGCGCCAGCCAGAAGAACAGCTTGACGTGGGGCGGAGCCTTGGCCGACCAGAGCTCCTTCGCACCGAGAAGGGAGGCTGAGCCATGGAAGAAGGCTCTATGGGTGGAGGATACCGAGTACTTTTCATCCGGCGACCACTTCCAAACGAACCAGTCAGGCTGCAGCGGCTGCAAGTTCACCGAGCGCAGCAGATCCCAGACTTTGGCCTGGTTTAGATTGGGGTTAGGAATTAGTATTTAGCACTGTAGTACTTTCGTTTGTATTTGATAATTATTGTCCAATCATGGTCTAACTAGGCTCAAAAGATTCGTCTCGTAATTTACAATCAAATTGTGTAATTAGTTATTTTTTTTATCTATATTTAATACTCCATGCATGTGTCCAAAGATTTAATATGATGGAGAGAGAGTGAAAAAACTTGCAATCTAAACGAGGCCTTTGAAGTAGTCGCAAAGCACCTGAGTGGTGGGTGCCCCGGTGATGTCTCTTGCCCAACGATTGTCTGTGAGAGCGTCGCGAAGCACCCGAGCCCGTCCCACCTTGGATGTTGCCGCGAACAAGGCGGGGGCAAAGAGGTGTAGGGGCCTGACGGCACCCAACTGTCTGTCCAAAGCTTAGTGGACGCCCCGTCGCCGATGATGACAGAAAGGCTGGCAGCGCATATGGCCTGGACCGTCTTCTCCGGTTTCGACGGCAAGCCCACCCAACATCGCTGGGGCTCCTCTCTGGCCAACCATTCCCAGCGGAGCCGAAGGGCAAACCCGAAGAAGCGTAGGTCGAGAACACCCAGACCACCCAAACCAGTCGGTCGGTATGGAGAGGACCGTGACGCCTAAGAGGAGGTTAAATTACACAACTTAAAATTCTAATTCTAAAGTATGGCCTTTTCTTTTATTTTTAGCAAAACCTATGCAAACGATAAACTATCTAAATGTGTAACTACGGTTTTACTAGTGTGTTGCTATCTCTACCGCAAAATGAATTAAGTAATCAATGTAAATGCGGAAGCTAAAGAGTAAGGTAGAGATATACAAACTCCCGTCGATGACTCCGGTATTTTTATAGAGGTATCGAGAAGCGCGCAAGCTTCCCCATAATCCTCGTTGGAGCCCCTCGCAAGGGCCAAGCTCCCGGTCGGGTAACTCCGTGGATAGCCCCGAGCTTTCCCCACGCGTAAGTGGGTCTCCGGTGTGCCTCTCCCGGACCGCTCCCCGCCGTTTTCACTATCAAGCTTTCGGCCGAAACGCCGCGGGCCTTATTCCCTCCGGTACACGGTGGCGACCACACCACAAACGCGGTTGGTGTGATCTCACAAGACTACAAGCCCCTCTAATGTACAACAATGGTACGCGCAAGCACCTATTGGTAAGAGGTATGCAAACCTCACTAAACACTAGGCCTAAACCTAGAGCAAGCGCATAAGCGGTGGTCTAATCAACCTAAGCACTTTACAAAGTACATACGCTAATCACCTAATAAATCACTAAGCACTATACAAGTGGAGATCACTAAAATGGTGTATCAACACCCTTGGTATGTTTTCTCAACTCCACACAGTCAAATGGCCGGTTGGGAGTCTATTTATAAGCCACACTGAGAAAGTAGCCGTTGGAGACGAAATCTCGCTTTTCTGCTACTGACCGGACGCTGCTTTCGTCCTGACCGGACGCGTCCGGTCGTCCCGACCGTTAGAGCGTGATCAACTGATCGGACGCTGATGGCGTCCGGTCACATGCTACCGGACACATCCGGTCGTAATTTCACCGCTCTGGAACCTCTCTGTACTCGATCGGACGCTGCAGTTCCTGCATCCGATCAATTTGCCGCCAGCGTTCGGTCAGTACCGAGTCTGTTGCCGGGATGATGAACAGGGCCATCGGTGCGTCCGGTCACTTTCAGTACTCAGCGCCCGGTCGCTGTTGCTGACGCCTGCT